CCCCCCCTGTGGCACCCACGGGCGCTCACCTTCCTGAAGACGGCGGGGTCGGGCAGCGGAGGGCCGAAGAAGGGCACGTCATCCCGGGCGGTGACCGAGACCTGCGGCAGGCGGAGGGGTGACGGGACACCCCAAGGGCCCCCCCACGGGGACGGGGATGCTGAGGCACGGGGGGTACCTTGTAGAGGGTGCCCTGGGTGCCCCCCTGCTCCAGCTGCACCACCACGAAGGCGTGGAGGAAGTTGGAGGCGATCATGTCGGGCACGAACGGCGTGTTCTCGTCCTGGAAGACGATGGCCACGATGTCGTTCCCGATGTGGCGCTTCCGCTGCAGCTGTGGGGACGGGGAGCCATGGAGGGACACGGGGGGACAGGGGGCAGGGGGGACACAGCAAGGTGTGAGGGACAGAGGGTGGTCACACCAAGGAGCCAAAGGGAATGGAAGACCCCAGAATCCCACAGGTGCCCCCCAGCCCTCCACGGGTGCTCCACCAGCCCCTTGCATCCCATATTTTTCCCCTGGTACTCATGGATGCCTTACCAGCCCTCTGCATCCCATAGATGTCCCTCAGCACCCACGGGTGTTCCTAGAGCTTTTATAGTCCACAGACAATCCCCCAGCACCCATGGGGGCCCCAGGAGTCCCCTGCATTCCACAAACACACCCCCAGCACCCATGGGGTGTGCTGCACCCTCAGCACCCATGGGGTGTGCTGCTAGCCTTTGTGACTCATGAATGTCCCCCCCCCGGCACCCATGGGTGCCCAGGAGTCCTCTGCATCCTATAGATACCCCCCCAGCACCCACAGATGCCCCACCAGCCCTCTCACCCATGGGGGTGCCCCAGGACCACCTACACCCCCATCCCTCTCAAGCACCCATGTGTTCCCCCCAACCCTTGCTCCCCTTTTACCCCTCAGCACCCCTGGGTGTCCCAGGGCCCCGTGGCCCCCCACAGACACCCCCCAGCACCCCTGGGTGCCCACCTGCTGGGCGTCCCCCTCGGTGTAGGGCAGTTTGGTGGACACGTGGAACATGATCTCCTTGTCGCGGAAGTGGCAGTAGACGGACTCGCTGCCCGTCTGCCCGTGGGTCACGTCCAGACCCCCCCGGAACCTGGGTGGGTGGGTGAGACAGGCACCCTGAACACCCACGGGTGCCCCCCTTCCCTCCCCCCAGCACCCCAGCACGCACCCCTTGAAGTCCCGCAGCTGCACCCGCTGGCCCAGGACGTCGAGGAACTCGGCGAAGGCCGGGCTCTCCTCCGTGGTGCCGAAAAGCTCCTCCTCTGAGGTCTGTGGGGGGTGGGGATGGGTGGCAGCACCCACCTGGGACACCCCCCTCACCCCCACCCCACCCCACCTCACCTCACCCCGTACCTGCCCCAGTTTTTGGTAGATGACCCCAAATTTGAAGTGGTTGCTGAGCACGTGCTCGTCAAAGGCGAGGATGAGGCGGGAGGCCTGCGGGGTGGGCCGGGGGCAGAGGTTGGGGGTGGAGGGCACCCATGGGTGCCCACGTGCCCCCCTCCCCACGCCCCGTTACCTTGGGGTAGAGCACAGGGTAGAACCGATCCACGTTGACGTCCTCACACACCAGCTGTGGGAAGGGGGGTGATGCCATGAGGGGGTTGGGGGGCACCCATGGGTGCTGCCAAGGGCAATTGGGGGGCACCCATGGTATTGGTATGGGGGCTACACCCACCTTGGCCATCTGCACCACGTTGGGGAACTCAGCCAGGCAGGAGATGGGCACCACGTCGTGCAGGGTGCGGGCACGGGTGCTGTGGGGCGAGGAGGGGGTCAGGGGGTACCCCCACCCCCAGGCAGCGCCCATGGGTGCCCCCGCACCCCGCTCACCGCAGCAGCAGGTGGAGGTGCTCCTGCTCGTCGTACTTGAGGGAGAAGACGAGGTGGCCCAGGGCCGGGTCCAGGGAGTAATAGTTGAAGTGCTCCTGTGGGGAGGAACCAGGGGGGGCTCACGGGGGGGCACCCCGGATGGGGGACACTCCAGTCTGTGAGCACCGTCATCCATGAGCACCCATATCCACATGGCACCCATGTCCATGGGCATCATCATCCATGGAGCACCCATATCCATGGGGCACCCATGTCCATGAGCACCATCGTGCGTGAGCACCCATATCCATGGAACACCTGTGTCCATGAGCACCCGTATCCATGGGACACCTGTGTCCATGAGCACCCGTATCCGTGAGCACCATCATCCACAAGCACCCATACCCATGGACACCATCATCCATGAGGGCCCATCCCCATGGGGCACCTTATCCATGGGGCACCCGTGTCCATGAGCACCACCATCCATTGGCACCCATATCCACGAGCATCTATCCCCACAGGGCACTCATGTCCATGAGCACCCTACTTATGGAGACCCCCTGCCTGTGCACACTCATGGGGCACCCATGGGGCACCCGTGTCCCTGAGCACCCATCCCATGGGGTACCCACGTCCTTAAGCACTGTCATCCATCAGTACCCATGTCCATGGGACACCCATCCTACAAACACTCGTAGATTCCCTGTGCCCATGGACATCCACATCTACACTCACCCCTCCATGGAGCACCGAGGTCCCTGAGCACCCACATCCATGAGCACCCATCCCCTTGGAGCACCCACATGCGTAATCACCCATGTCCATGGGACACCCACATCATTGTCATCCGTGCCCGTAAATACACACACCCATGAACACCCATGTCCCTGAGCACCCACACCCATGGGGCTCCCATGCCCATGGATACCCAATATATCCATGGGGCTCCCATGTCCAGGAGCACTCACATGCCAGAGCATCCATGCTTATGAGGTCTCCATGCCCACACCCATCCACACCCATGGAGAACCCACCCACCCGAGCACCCGTGTCGTGGGGCACCCGTGTACATGAACTCCCACATCGTGGGGCTCCCATGCCCATGGATACCTGACATCCACCTCCATGAGCACCCAGATCCATGAGCACCCATTCCCATGGGGCTTCTGCACCCATGGAAGCACACACTCACATCCATGAGCACCCATGCCATAGGGTGCCATGTCCATGAGCACCCAGTTCCATGGGGTCCCCATAGCCATGGATACCAACACCCACTGCCATGAGCGCCCCTATGCACGAGCACCCATGTGCATGAGGTCTCTGTGACCGTACCCGTGCCCACCCATATCCGTGGGGTGATCCCCCCACCCCTGCAGCCCCCCGGGGCCTCACCTTGCCCAGGAAGTGCTTGCGGTAGATCTTGGCCGTGTGGTTGCCCTCCAGCTTTGCCCGGGTGCCGGGGGCCGGGGTGGGGGGCGAGTCGGGGGTCCCGCTCAGCTGGTGGTTGGTGCCCTCGATCCAGTAACCCCCGAACTGCGGCAGGAGGATGAGGGGGAACGGCCCCTCCCGGCCCAGCACCTGCACCCAGTGCCAAGGTGGGTGCTCTGGGCACCCACCCAAACCCCCACACCCACCCAGCGCCCCTCTCATCCCTCTCTGGAGGGGGTGGGTGCTCTACCTCGTGCACGCTGGGGTAGGGGATGTAATCCTCCTCCGTCTGCAAGACAAGGGCTGAGTGATGGCCATGGTGGTACCCGTGGCTACTGGGGTGGGTGATGGCCATGCTGGCTGCCCTGGGTGCTGGTTGGGTGCCCCCCACCCCCATGACACCTACCTTGAGCGGCGGGGGGACGGCGTGGCGCTGCTGGGCCATCCTGCTGCCCTGGGGAGACGGGGGCTGTGGGTGCCCATCACCCCACTGGGACGGACACCCTTGGGTGGGGAGCACCCCATGGGGGCTTACCTGGGGGTGGGGTGGTGGTGCTGGCTGGAGACACGTCTAGGTGGTGCGAGGGGGTCCGGGGGGGCCCATGGCGCTTCCTGGGGGAGAGGAGAACTCCCCCACAGCCCCTCGCCAGGACGCCCGGGCAGCGGTGCCACCCCTGGAGCTGAGGGATGGCAGCGGGGCAAGGGCCACCCTGCCAGGGCCGCCCGGCTGCGGGTCGGGGGGGCAGGAGTGGGGGGTGCGGGGTCACTGTACGGGGGGGTCCGGCCGCTGAGACCCCCCCAACTCATCGCACCCACCCCCCCAACCCGAGGGGCTCCCTCTGCCGGCGGGAGGCGGCGGCGCGGGGGCAGCACCACGGACAGCGCCGGGCACCGGGACCCGCCCCGGGCCACTGTCACCGACCCCGGCAGTGTCACCGACCCCGCGAAAGTGTCACCGACCCCGCGCCAATTTGACCATCCCCGGGCCAGTGTCACCGAGCCGGTGCCAGTGTCACCATCCCCGTGCCAGTACCACCGACGCCGTGCCAATGTCACCATCCCCGTGCCAGTGTCACCATCCCCGTGAAAGTGTCACCGACCCCAGGAAAGCGTCACCAACCCCGTGCCAATTTGACCATCCCCGTGCCAGTGTCACCGACCCGGTGCCAGTGTCACCATCCCCGTGCAAGTGTCGCTGACCTCGTGCCAATGTGACCATGCCCGTGCCAGTGTCACCAACCCCCATGCCAGTGTCACCGACGCAAAGTGCCGCCATCCCCGTGACACGGGCACAAGCTCCAGGCAGGGAGGAGGGAGGGCTGGCACCGTGGAGGGGGGGTTGGCAGGGACCCACCCGGGGACACGCCAGGGTGGGGACAGGGCCGGGATGTGACAGGGCCGGGGCCACCATGCAAGTGTCACCAGCCCTGTGCAAATGTCACCGTCCCCGTGCAAATGCCACCCTCCTTGTGCCAGTGTGACCATCCCCGTGCCAACGCCGCTGTCCCCGTGCAAACGCGACGCTGGTGCAAGCACAGCCCTGGTGCAAAGGCGCCCCGGTCCCGTGCAAACACAATGACGCCCCCGGTGCCAAAGGGACCCTCGCACCGCTGTCCCCGTGCCCGTGCCAAGGAGGTGCAGCCGAGCCCCGTCCCTGAGCAAACACGGCCGTGGTGCAAACCCAGCGCGGTGCGGGTGCGACCCAGCCCTGTGCAAACACAGCCGCAGCCCGGCACAGCCCCGGGGCACGCGTGACCCGGCCCCGAGCCAGCGCGACCCCGCTGTCCCCGTGCCAAGGCGACCCTGGTGCCAATGCGACACTGCCACCCGTCCCCGCGCCAACGCGACCCTCTGCAAACGCGCCCCGTGGCCCCCCTGGGCCGCAGAGTGACCCCGCCGGGCTGGAGGGTCCTTGGGGGGCTCCGTTATCGCTCACCCCCCCTCCCAGCACCCAAATTGGGGGGCAGTCCCGGGGAGGGTGGGGGGCAGCACTGGGGGGGGGGATGCGCCCTAAATGTGGTGCCAGGCTGGGGGGGCACAGGCTGGATTTAGGGGAGGGGACATGGGAGGCAGAGTGGGGAGACCGGGGTAGGGAGAGAAAATGATGAGGGGCAGGAGCGGGGGGAGGTGGATTTTGGGGTATCCGGGGAGGGTGTGTAGGTTCGGGGGGGGCAGGATGCAGGGTGTAACTGTGGGGGAGATATTGTGGGGACGGACTGGGGGGTAAATGGGGGACTCGTCCCTCCCGCCCCCTCCCCAACCCGCGTCCTTCTCCCCCAGGCCCGGAGCATCCCCCCGCCATCCCCTCCCCCGGTACCGGCGGCACTGAAGGTCACCGGCGGACGGACCCCCCGGTGCCGCGTCGGGGCTGGGGGGACACCCCGGGGGGGGGGTTCTCCGCGGGGACCCCCGAGCCCGGTCCCCTCGGGGCGGCACTTACCGGGGGCGGCGGGGCCGGGGCGGTCCCGGAGCGGGGCCGGTACCGAGCGGAGCCGAGCGGGGCCCCGGCGCTCGCTGCCACCGCGCAGCGTCACGTGCGGCGGGGCGGGGCGGCCCCTCCGGGGGCGGCGGGACCGGGAACCGGCACCGGGAACCGGCACCGGCACCGCCAGCCGGGCACCGCACCGGGAACCGGCACCGCGGACGCACCGCCGGACACCGGCACCGGCAAAACGGCACCGGAACCGGGCACCGGGATCCGGAACCGGGGATCCCCCTCCAACCCTGATGTCACCCCCTGGGTGTCCCCTCCCTCCCCAGCGCACAGGTCCCCGCGGACGGGGGACCCCCCAAACCCCTCCCTGTCCCCCGGGAAGTGTCTCCATCCCCCTGCCCGCGGTTGGGATCCGGGCCCCGCTCTGCCCATCACCCGCACCCCGCTCCCAGTCTGGCTCGCGGGGTTCCCCCCACATCCCTCCCTGGGACCCAGAGCAGCCCCCCGCTCACACCTCCCCACCCTTGGTCCCCCCATTCCTGGTACTCAGGGAACTCCCATTTCCATCCCTGGTGCTCAAGGCCCTCTCCCACCCCCGGTCTCTCCATCCCTGCTAACCCAGGCAGCCCCCTCATCCATGATCCCCATTCCTGGTACCCAGGGCACCCCTTCCATCCCTCCCTGGCACTCAGGGTACCCCTCTCAACCAATCCCCCCCAGCACCCAGGGCACCCCCTCCATCCCTCCCTGGCATTTAGGGCATCCCATCCACCCATAACCCCCCAATTCCTGACCCTCCCCATCCTTAATTTCCCACATCACCCCAAGGCCCCTCTCTCCCCCCACCAGCACCATGAGTGACCCCCCACCCAGCACCCATGTCCCTGTCCCAGGGGGACCCCCCAGCTCAGGGACCCCCAAGGAGGGGCTGGCATTGGCTCCAGAGGAGAAGGAGAGGGGCCTGGCACCCCAGGGGGACATAGAACCCCCTGGGGACATAGAACCCCCTGGGGACATAGAACCCCCTGGGGACACAGCAGCTGGGATGTGACAGGGCCAGGGCTCCATAAACCCTGTGCCAAGGGTGGGGGGATTCCCACTCCAGCAGGATCCCACTCGCTCCCATCCCACCCCGCAGCCCTTTTTGGGACAGCTCAGAGCGGGATTTATGGGATCCCCCCCCCTTTGCTCCACCACCCTCATCCCACGTGTCTGCACTGCAACGAGGCTGCCATGGCTCCAATGACAACTTTAATCCGATAATATTTGCAAATAACAGACAAAACAGGAACGGGGCCCTGGGATCACACCTGGGATCTGTGTCCTCCGGAGGATCCGGCGCTGCCGGAACCGCCGCGGCCCCGGAACACCCCCAGGGCCCCCCCGGATCCCTGCCCACAACAGGATAAGCTCAAGGAAGAGATTTTTGTATTTGTTTTTTTTTATATATATATATATATAACATTAAAAAAATGAACAGCAACTTGAAAAGATGGAATTTCCAAGGAATATGTACACAAGCGAGTGCTTCAGGCTGGGAAGAAAAAACCTCCTGTGGCTTCGGCACATGGAATTCCTCATGTCTGTACCTTGGGAAAGAATCCACGGGTCCAAACTGCCCCAAACCCCCCACTTCTTAGGAGCTTTAGAGCCCCTCAAACGCTGCTGCTTCACCCCCAAACGCAGCGGGGACAGGGAGGAGGGGGTTTGGCAAAGAACAGCTGGAATTCTTCGGATAAAACCTTGGAAATCAAACCTTGGAAATCAGATCTAGTGGGGTTTTGGGGGATGGGATTTGTGCCCCTCCCCCCTCGTCTTGCATCCCAAATTTCTGCAAACCTTGACAAAATAAAACTGATGTGATCTCTACATCGTATTTTTCCAGGGAAACAAGGGAAAAGGCTGGAAAGGAAGAGGAAACCTGGAATTTCAGGACAGAGATCCCTTGGCAGTGCCTGGTGTGGATCAGTCTGGAAGTGGGATAGTTCCTGCTAAATATTAATGGGGAGAAATCCTTGCTGGGAGATGTTAAAAATAATAATAATAATTAGTGCATTGCTGAAAAACGAGGATAAAGGGGGGAAAACCCCCCTCTTCCCATGGGAAATGCCTCCCACCTGCACCCCCTCGCTGGCTCCGGCTGTCCCAAGCACTCCTGCAGGAAAATGTTCTCCAGAGTCACTAAAATACCCCAAATTTCTAAAAAGAAAAAAAACAACCCAGTTCCCAGAGCCCAGGTGGTTCTTGGATCATCCAAGGTGTGGAAGTGGCGGGGGGATGCGGAGAGGGGGCGGCCTGGGGAAGGTTTGGGAAGCAGATCCCAGCTCCCATTTGGGGTCAAATCAATGAAGATTCATTGTCTGCCAGACATTCCTCACCCAGTCCCAAATCCTGCACTTCCAAGCTGGCCTGACAGTGGATCAAAGACAGGGTTATCCTAAAGAGGGGGATGGAGCAGGATGGTTGGGATATATGGGATCACGGGGACACCCCCTCACC